AGTCAGTGATGTGAAAAACCTGAATAGTATTCTGGGCTTTGAAAGCCCTATGAAATGTTGTTCCTTCAGCTGCACATTAGTTCTGTCACCTAAGTAACATAGCTTCATGGAAGTTTGTGAAAGATAAGGCAAATGGCTGGTGTCTGGCCAACTGCAAGACTCTGGGGTGCTGTATACCCATTGCCAAAGAAATTGATTTATGTTGCCGTTCATACTCTGCTTATAAATGAGACTTTTGTTATTTGAACACTTAACACAGGAAGACGAGCATTTTGTATTTGAAAAATTCTTTCCTGTTTTGATGGAAATGTTGAGTTTTGTAACAGGTGTACACTTTGTCAGAGCGAAACAAAACTGAAGCTGTGGATGCCCCATCCCTGGAAGTGTTCCAGGCCAGGCTGGATGAGGCTTTGAGCAACCTGGTCTAGTGGAAGGTGTCCCTGCCCATGGCAGGGGGGTTGGAACTGGATGATCTTTAGGGTCCCTTCCAACCCAAACCATTCTGTGAAAACAGCAGTTCTAGCTTTGGCTTGTTTTGTGAAAGTACAAATTGCAGTTAAGGTTTCAAAACCTTAGTTTTCTGCAAACTGGGCTCCCACTAGCTCTGTTGCCCTTTCTTGGCCCAGGCTGAAGCAGTGGTGTGCTGACTGGGAGGCCTGCTGGGCATCGTGCTGTCTTTTGCGTGGTGGTTCTGCATGATGCAGCTTTTCTGTTGGCTCTGCGACAATGGAGGGTCACTGCTCCATGAGGAGTGTGGGCATGTCTGTGTACCCTGTACTACTGTATTAGTCATCTTTAATGTAATCTTCATAGTGATGAACTCACACCTACTGGGTTTTCTGGTGTTACGGAAATGGAGGGATTGGCAGAACTATACTGGTTCACAGCACAGATTTCAAGCACAGCCCTGATGTGCTGTAAGGGAATACTTATATTTTCCTGGAGTTACTTGATATTCCTCTTAACACTATTGAGTATTTTTGGATTAAAAATGTAACTGAGGATGAGAAAACCAGCAGAATTTATGAATATTTATTTAAAAAAATCTAATGTTTCCTTCCAGATTATAAGAACTCTTAAGGTACTACAGGATTTGAATATATCATTGGATATTCTAGTGGTAAGTGACCAATAATACGTTAAACTCTTCTGTACTGACTTACTGTGTATGTTATCAGGGCTCTGCAGTCACAGAAGCTGTGAACATGGGGTTTGTAATTTTGACTCTTAATCGTGATTCATTTAGAGCTGCATACAAGGAATCATAGAGCTTTTTTCCAAAAGTCAAGTGGGAAGCTGGGCATACAACTTGACAAATGCAGCATTATGCCAACAGTGATAGT